TTGATGCTCTTAACCACTGTACTTTGAAGAGAAGGGCAACTGCACCATGGCCCTTTGCTGCAGAAAAAATAAGGGTAGTGCTGTAATTGAAAAGACAAAGTTTGGTTTACGACTCAGAAGGATGCCAGGTGAATGGTTTTATATTCACTCATTGAGTTTATGCCCTACCTACTAGTAAGTCTCCAGGTTTTTAAGCACGCATCTAGACACTTACAATGGCATTCCTCCCCCTTGTCATGTGCCTTAGAAAGAAATCATGTTTCTGTAACCCAGTGTAACTGAACTGTGTAGTGACTAAAACAGACTGCATTCCAGTCATTGTTAATGCAGCCAAAAAAAAAATCCTAATTAACTGAGAAAATAGGTCAACAAACTCTTAAATATTTAAAGAACTATCACATATTGTTTTAAAAAGTTTCTTATGATGGCATAGCTGTTTATGAATAAATTACAAATACCTATGGCCTCTTTCACTGTCTCTCTAGGATTAATGTTACCAGACTGCTCTGGCTGTAAGACTAGAACCTTCCTCTCCTCAGCTCTTTCCCCACAATGCAGCATTGCTTCTTTCTAGGCTGACTAGAGCAAAGGAAGGTCTCATGGAGATGTTTGACTGGGGGAGTGGCACTTCAAACATTCTGCCTTCTGCTAAATTGAAGTGCTCCAGTATTATTAGTACTAAGACCAGTAATGGTGGGCTCTGAGGGATGCAGCTTCTCTGAATTAGTAATGAGTTTTGCTACTTTGCGGCTCTCTTGGCTGAGACCTAAAGTGCCCGTGTTTTTTTCTTGACTTCCGAATCATGTTCCGTTTGTTGTAGTTGCCATGACAGAAGGAATGGAGGTCTTATCTCTTTTTAAAGCTCTTAAAAACATGAGCACTGGTTAGTTTATTAAAAGGCAAACCATTCAAACATCCCCATTCTTAACTGACCTGTCTTATATGGGAATTAGTCTGTGCTCATGCTTGTAACAGATTTCTGGGAAAAAAAGGTCAGAATTAGGAAAACAAAGGCACAAATCATTCTAATACTTACTGGAGAGACAAGTGAAAGTTGTTGCCTTGTTTCCCTGTCTAGGTGCATGACTGGGCTGGTCACAAACGTTCTGCTGGAACTGGGGATCTCAGTTCCTCCAGGGTTGCTCAGTCACCTGTGGCCCACATCAGGCTGTCATCCCTCAGCAATGTGACATGGTTTGGGGTCTCTATCACCTATAGAACACCTATCCTGAGCCTATCTCCCCACCAGCCAAAGAGGCATCAAACATAGTTTTGGCAGTAAAAACATCTACGGCTCTTGCAATGCTTGAGCTATCCTAACTCAAGAAAAAAAATAATTTAGAAATAACAAAATGTAATGTGTAGAGGTTGCACTAAGCAAGACAGTTGATCCAAAGCTTGGACATCACAGACACTTCCTGCATTGGTTGAATTGTCACTAGTAAGCAAAAAGAGCCAGACATGCTTTGATCTGGCCAGCTTCAAAAAGGGTAACAAGATTCACAGGAGAAGCCACAGATTCTGTAGGCCCAGCAATCATGGTCAGCAGGGATGTGCGAGCTCAGGCTCTCCCAGATCAGTGTGGGATGCAGCCCCAGGCATTTCAGAGATCTGGCTGGCTGGCTTGGCCAGCCCTTTTGGCACAGTTTCTGCAACTATTCAGGACCACAAAAAACAAGGCAAAAAAGGAAGGCAAAGTAGTAAGCTCAGGAACCCGGAGATGTTTCATTATTCACTCAGATTTAAATAAGAATGACAAATGCCTGTAAAAAAGAAAAGGAGATGCTCTAACAATTCCTGCAACATTCAGCTCCAAAAAGACAGCTGCTTATTAGCAAAAACAAATGACAAGGTAGCAGCCTGACCTGCACAGCTGGTGAGCAGCATAACAGACCTCTCACTCCTCCTGGTAAGCTGGACACTTACACTGCCCCTGCCAGGCCCTTAAGGCTCATTGTGTCTGGACAACTCTAAAGGGCTCCCTTCCTTCCTTTGCCTTCCCTTCTCTCTCCTGCCAGCTCATCCAAGGCTACCAGGAGGGCAGAGAAGGACCTGGGGAGTCACAACTTTCCCTTGGACCAGGAGCTGTTTCAGGGATCTCTCCCAGCCCCTTCCTGCCACCAAACTGCTTCCCCTTCACAGGTCTTGTCTCAGCAGTCCTCTTTCCTTATTAGTGTGTGTGTGACCCTCTCAATAAAACATTTTGCTGCGTGATGTATGAAGGACCGTGTCTCAAACCACATTTTACTGTATATTTAAGCGTGAGTTTTGCTGATTTACTACTGCTCTAGAGAACATCTCCCTCCCCGAGCAGGGCAGGCCTGTAACAGATACATCAGCTCTGAGTAATGATTATTAGTACATCCCAAGGTTATGTCCCACAATCAAATAATGTGTAGGAGGGAAGAGAGACTCCAGCTTACTCGACTGAGGACAAAGATCACAGATAGTCTCTTTCAATCTTCAGATTGCAATATCCATTACAGATTGCCACCTTCTAATGTCAAAGTATAATTTGTTGTTGAGAAAATGTGTCGCTGTTCCAAAGGTGAGTCAAAGATCAGCCTGGCTGTATATCAGCGCATGTTGATGTACATTAAGAACTGATGGCCAGGTACCAAGGACATGGGGCAGCTGGTGCACAGAGAACGGCAGCAGACGTGACTTGCTGATCCTTCCTGTGCAAACACACGGCCCGGAGCGGGAAAATATTTAACCCAGTCAAAGTCAGGTGTCACCGGTAATTGCCAATGTCTAAGGCAGCACCAATGCGACGTGTGAGAGGCAGCGGCTGCCTGCAGCGGCTCCGGGCAGGAATGGTGCTGTTCTGGCGATGGCGGGCGGGCCCGAGCGGCCGCAGGCCCCGGGATCCATCCCCAGCTATTCCCGCCGGGCAGCGCCGCCCGCCCCGCGCTCCCGCCGCCAGGGGGCAGCATCGTCCCGGCGATGGCGGCCCCGCGCTCCGGGAGCGCGCCCGGGCTGAGGGGGGGTCTGGGATCCTCCCCGGCTCTTACCCGTGCCGCCTCAACTTACCTGGCTTATACTCGCTCTTATTGTCAAGCCATTGCAGAGACGGTGCTACTTTATATTGCAGTTGGAGGGGATTTTTTTCTTCTAGAAATCCACTCTACAAACGCTGCTGGGAAAACAATAGGCAGGGTGTAAGTTGTCTTATGTCCCATTCTCCTTGCCAGCTCCCTATTGACAAAGACATGACAAAAATCAAACCTCTCTCCAGTTCCAGCGGTGCCACGTGGTCTGCCTGGGCCCCATGGTCAGAGCTGGGCCCGGCTGAGCTCAAGTGACTCCAGCAGGTCACAGCCCCGGCCAGAGAAGGCTGAGGCAATGCTGTCCTGGTGGGTGATGCAACCAAAGGCTCTGAGAGGGCTGTATTTCTTATTGGAAACATCTGCCTGTCACTTGGCATTTGAATGAGCAGTTCGAAGCTGCTGGTAGGTGCTTGTGTCATGGCAATGACTGTGACAGGCTTTTTCCACCTCTGAGGAGATGGTTGTGACATTTGCTTTGAGTGCAACCTTGAAGTCACTGAGTTCCTCTGGTTGAGAACAATTTCTTCCTAATATCTATTCTAAACCTACCTACACTGTAAAGCCATTCCTCTTTGTTCTATTACTACTTGCCCTTGTAAAAAAGCCCCTCTCCAGCTTTATTTTAGCCTCTCTGATTGCAGAGGCTCCCAGAACTTCCTGCTAACAGCTTGCAGGAAAACACCAAGTGTGGCATCATGGTCTCATTGGGAGGTTCACTGCCACCCTGCTCTCTGCAGCTGCTTCCCAGCAGCTCCTTCCCAAAAAACACCCACTAGAGCACATGGCTCTTGCAGACAGCACACACAAGTCCAATCTGGTTACAGCCATGTTAGGCGTGCAGAGCAGCACAAGTCAGATGTGCCAGAGATAGCCAAGCAGTGTCATCCTTCCTGTTCAAAGCACAGAAACATGGATGCAGCACAGTCCATGCTGGCCATGTCAGCCACAGCAACACCCTCCGGGAGGCTCCCTGTTCTTGATGTCAACAAGGGCTACTGCTGTTCTGGGCCCACACTGACAAGGGCAGTTGTGGCACCTGGAATGTGAGGCCAAGGATGCAGCTTGTGTCTGTGGCTCCTTGATCCTTCCTTCTTCCTATCTGCCATGCTTACACATCCCCCTCATCAACTCCTCTGTCTCTCTGCCCTTCTCTCCTCCCTGCTATCTTTTCCCCCTGAATCCAAGGTTTGTCCCACCTGTGAACAGACTTGGTGTTGCAGGTGCCGTCAGCTAGCTCACCTCGGCCTTCCATGGCATTACAGATGCAGTTTCCTGAGTCCTTCTGCTCCTACCAGGTTCTTCTCCCCAGAATGACCCCAACTCTTCCTTCAAACATCTCTGAAGTGTGACCAGCTCACACATCAGTGTCCCTTTGTTATCTGTGAAATCTTGCTCTTCTTTTAGGGCACTGTAACTCCTTTCAGCTTCTCCCTGCCTTTGTGAGAGTCAGCAATTTTGCTTGTCATGCTCAGGAGCTTCCCAGGTCTGCTCCGTTAGCTAAGGCTTTTGCCAGGCCCTAGTCACCAGCTTGTGTGCCTCAGTGTGTCCTCCCTACGGTGCCTGCATGTGGCATTGTCTTCTCCTGTTCTCTTCCTAGCCTTGATGTGCCAGTCTTCTCCATCCTGTGGAGCAGACAGTTCCAGCCCTTTGGAGTGACTCCCTTTGTGCCCAAGTGGTCTGGCACAGCCTCATTTTGCAGGTTCTGGGCAAGGAAGTTCTTGCCTCACTCAGGAGACCAAACTGGACTGAAAGCATGTTAACCACAAACATAGGCAACTTTATTTCAGCAACTAAGTCAACGTTAGCATTTGCATAAATGCAGAGGAACAGTGTGGGCAGGACAGAGCGGGCCATTGGTACTGAGGCGGCCTTTGGTTCAGCAGGCATTGCCTCAGCAGGAAACGGTCACCGTCCCATGCAACCTGCACTGGATGCTGTCCATTCTCCCGCTCAATCTGTAACTACCTGTAGGTTCTTCAGGAGGTCCCGGATCCCAGTGAAGAATTCGATCAACTTCTTGAGTGGAAATGGACAGCTCTTACTCTCTTCCACTGGTGTCGGTAGTGAACTTGGATTCTGCGTGGGAGGTGGTCTTGGCGATGGATTCTGAGTGGGAGGTGGTCTTGGCCACGGATTCTGAGTGGGAGGTGGTCTTGGCCACGGATTCTGAGTGGGAGGTGGTCTTGGTGATGGATTCTGAGTGGGAGGTGGTCTTGGTGATGGATTCTGAGTGGGAGGTGGTATTGTCCATGGATTCTGAGTGGGAGGTGGTCTTGGTGATGGATTCTGAGTGGGAGGTGGTATTGTCCATGGATTCTGAGTGGGAGGTGGTCTTGGCCATGGATTCTGAGTGGGAGGTGGTATTGTCCATGGATTCTGAGTGGGAGGTGGTCTTGACCATGGCTTCTGAGTGGGAGGTGGTCTTGGCCACAGATTCTGAGTGGGAGGTGGTCTTGGCCATGGATTCTGAGTGGGAGGTGGTCTTGACCATGGCTTCTGAGTAGGCCATTGGGTGTTCGTATGATGAGTCCAAGGTTGTGAGGCAGTTGTATAATGAATCCATGCCCGAGAAGACTCTACTTGTGGAAGCAGTTCCATCTGAATCAGAATCCAGTTATAGAAGTGCTGAACAGAAGTATATATCCCAGGCCGTTTTTCTCTGGCACAGCCTCTTCCCCAGCTGGTCACTCCAACAACCCAGAAGAAGTCAGCACTGTTGTCTTTGCACATGAGTGGACCCCCACTGTCACCCTGCAGAGGAGCAGAAAGGATTAAGGTGGTATTGGGTGGCCCCTGTCAGCACTGGGGCTGCCTCCTTCTCTCTCACAGCCCCTGCCAGAGCTGTATTCCCAGCAGAGCAAGGCTCTGCTGAGGTGCTGGAGCCTCTAGAAGCTTGGCCAGGAGTGGGTTGGGGGCCTATGAAGTCAGGCTCTCAGCTTTGCCCAGTGATCCTGGATGTGCAGAGGACAGATGTTCCAGCATTGGTATCTGGACCTCTGGGCTGCCACAAGCACTATAGCAGGGCTTTCTGGGCAGAGTGCCAGGCCTCTGGGACTAGGCAGGCCCTGGGCTAGGCCCTGCAGACGGGGAATGGGTGGGAAGGCCCAGGAAAGGTGGGGAGCCAGAGCTGAGACTAACTGGCCAGGAAAAGAAGGGGCTGGGCAGTGTTGGGGTGGTACTGCCTGTGCTGCTGGGGGCTGAGTGATTTGTCATACGCTCCTACCTGGCAGGTGTCGATGCCACCCTCTGGGTAGCCAGCACACAAGTTGTGGGTATGGACGTCCCCCCCATACCACTCGCTGCTGTTGCAGAGCTGGACACTGATAAGGTGGACCTTGGCCTCCTGCAGGACATCACTTGTTTTTTGAGCTGTGAGCACAGAAAGGAATGAGAACCTGGCAGCTCACTGCCACTTTCCCCGTCTGGGTGTCATCCCCTTCCCTAGGGCTTGGCTTTGCTTCTACAGAGGTGCTGGAGCTCTGTGTCCCTGCTGTCTTTGTAAGTCTGACTCTGGCTCTGGCCTCTGCTCTCAGGAAGCCCAACCCATTTTCCCAGTGTATTGAGCTTGCTCTCCATTTTTGGAAACTCACATCTTGCAGTGGTGGCACCCCAGCCAGCAACATAGCAGGTTTCCAGCTGTGCCACACTCAGTGTAGCATTGGGTACGCAGACCAGCTGGACGTAGGGGCTGCACTGGACAGGCTCATTCAGTTCCAGCAGCGCGATGTCATTGCTCTGGTCGGCAGAATCGTATTCCTTGTGAATCAGCAGCCGCTTAATTGTGCGCACCTCGGCCCCAGGGCCCGGCTCAGTCAGCTGGGTGGCCCCAATCAGCAGGCGCAAGGCACTGATGTTCCTGAAGGCACATGGAGAGAGGGGTGAGAGAGAGCAGAGCCTGGAGCTGTGGCAGCCCAGCAGTGACTGCTCTAGCATGCCTTAGGCTCTGGGAATGTCAGCTGAAGGCTGCTAGGAAGTAGTGGCATGTGCCCACCCTTCTCCTGAGTAATTTCTCAGCTGGGTTCTGCACTGCCCAGGCACTGGGCACACTGTGCAAGGAAACGAGATGGAAGAGGCGTATGGCACTGCTGACAGGGAACCTGCTGATGTTGTGGGGATATCCCTGTTGCCTGCTCCTTCTTACCTGGAATCAGCAAAGCAGTGGGCTGCTGTGAGGACCCACTGTACGCTGATGAGGGACCCTCCACACAGATGCCCTGTGCCTGCAACCGAGGAATCCTGGATGCTGACAAGCCAGGGCCAGGCCCCTGCCTCGGCGCTTGTGCCACCCACGACGCGTGTCATGCCTCGCTCATCATCAGAAGCCAAGGGCCGGAGCCCACAGCTCCCTCTGCAATTAGAAAATAATTTCCATCCTGCTCCATGGCTTGCTGCTGCTCCAGCAGAAGCTCTCCACATGGTGTGCAGGGACAGCCATGGGGTGTGAGCCTGTCCACAAGGAACTGAGGCTTCCCTGTGGGGTTTGGGAAGCTGTGGCCTGGCCATGGAGGCCAAGTGGGCCCTCTCCAGGGAGCCCCTGAAGTGCTGCCCAAGCTCCCTCCCAGAGCCTGGGGCCACTTACTCGCAGGCGTTCCACATGCCCTGCACAGGCCGGCATGTGGCCAGCAGGACGAAGAGGCAGAGCAGCAGCATCGCTGCCCGTGTCTCGTGTCAGCTGCTGAAGTGAGGCCTCCGCGCACCAGCACAGCCGCAGTGCCCGCAGCACCTGAAGTGCCCTCAGCCCTGGGCTGATGTCACAGAGCAGCCGGTTCCATGTTCTGGGCCTCTGGCACAGCGGGCAACATGGAACCATAGAATGGTTTGGGGTCGGAATGAACTTTAACAATCATCCAGCTCCAACCCTGTTAGGGTCAGAAGTACAGACTGTACCCTTATCTGTGATGCCTGGCTCTGACACCCAAGAGAGCGCTGAATTTTGTGTAACACCATGGGGACAGCTGTTAAAGTTAAGCAGAGAAACTAGGAATGTGAGTGTGTAAGTTAGATAGAGTTTTCTTAAGTCACTAGGTGAGAAAGAGTTTAAGGTTTAAGCTATTTTAGAAAATAAGAGACAAGATGGAGGACTTAGGGTGTTGTCCCTTTCTCCTTCTTCTTCTTCCTTCTTCATCTTCTTCTAGGGATTTTTGGGTAATAATAAGTGATTAGATAGAAAATGCCACAGTGCAGCACACAGGTGTCGGGTCATTGGGGCACAAAAAAATTAATTTACTTGGCATTTGCTAATTGGACAAATAGACATACAAAAGACCTTGAAGAGGTTCTTCATTAGCCATTTTGCACCTCTCTATCTCAGTGTATGTAGCTCCTTGTACTCTGTAGAGATGTAATATAGATAAGAAAAGAATAAACAGCCAAGTCCAAACAAGAGAAAACAGTCTCTCTCATCACTCTCAGTCCAAGGAAAAAGAACCCAATTACCAGTGTCACATCCCAACACAACCCCTGCCACAGGCAGGGACATCTCACACCAGATCAGGCTGCTCAAAGATCCATCCAACTGGGCTTTGAACATTTCCAGGGATGGAGCAGCCACAGCTTCTCTGGGCCATCTGTGCCTGTGCCTCACCACCCTCACAGTCAAAAATTTCATCCTCATGCGTATTCTAAACCTGCTCTCTTTCAGTTTGAAACCATTCCCTCTTGTTCTACCACTACTTGCCCTTATAAAAAATCCTTCTCCAGCATTTTTGTAGGTACCTCTGCTTGCAGGATGAGGGCGTGCAGGCCCTGGGGCACAGGGAAGCACAGATGCATTTGACAGCAAGATGGACCATTTTGCTTTCATTCTTTAAAATATGGCAATTTGACTGACTTTTCCTATCATTTTCCTAATATGACAATTTGACTGACTTTTCCTGGCCAGTTTTCCTAAGTAATAGTCAGCTTGGTCATGTATGTGTGGTATTTGGGCCTGTGTATCGAAAGTGGAAAATACCTGTGTCCCTGCTTTCCAGGACGACTTGTCAGCTGCAGTCAGCATTCTCTCTGAAAGACTATAAAGTGCTAAGTGCTGCCTGCAAAAAGCAAGGCATAGAGAAAACACTGATGAAAGCACATGGTATTAAGAAGCATTGAGATATATCTGATAAAATCTAGTTTTGCTTTCCATGCCAGCCCATATATTCTGAAAACCTCCTGAAGATCCTTAACCAACCAACCAAAAAAGAAAATATGTGATCAAAATGGCTTCTAAATATTAACCTGCCGACTGATACAGATGTATACAATTAATATGTATATATACACATATTATTCTTGTTCCATAGTGCTTTCTATTCCTTTTTCTGTTTTCAGACAGAGCAAGGAAAAGATACCCACAAAGAAGAAAAAATGAGAAACTTGAAAAAGAGTCAAAATCTGTACTTGCAAACCAAATTAAATTTTTAGACACCTTGGTGTTTAAGCACTTTCTTTTCGATCTTATTAAAAGTGCCCAGTTCTCAGAAAGTACCTGTCCTCCCAAAATGATGGTTACCTGATATGTCAGTGCCAACTGAGCATCTGCCATCATTTCTTATTATGGGAAATGTAGGCCCCATGTGTTTACACTTCTTGAGACTGTCAATCTCTTTCAAGGAGTTGGCAAAAGGTTTGCATTTGCATTGGTTTTACTTATCTGAGTTGTTTTCCTATTCTTATGATCACCCTTTTTCTCTGTGAGAGTTGAATTTCTGGTATAGTAATATCCATCCACATAAAAATGAAGGCTCAACACATTTCAAAAGGGAGAATAATTTAATCATTGATGAACGTGCAATATTCTGAGTAAGTCTTAAAACCACCAGAGGTCACACATGGGTTTCTTCCTTCCCCTTTTCCTCTTCCAGCATTTTTTTAAAATTTGTTTGTTTGTTTGCCTGTGCAGCTGGATTTTTGATACAACAAGGTAGCTAAACTTCATGTGTGGAAGATACTGAAAAATAACTGCATTCAATGTTTGAACAGACCTAGTGATTCTAAATAAATATTTTCCTGTGAAAATTAATGCTGTGCCCAGAATATGAAATGATGCTGGTTTGCACAACTCGGCAAATTTGTAATGTATCATTTTAATGGCAAACAGGAGAAATTAAAAGTATGTGGGTGTTCTTTTGTTATTGTTTTAGGAGATTTTCCGTTGGTTGGTGGTTTTTTTTTCTTTTAAGATGGATATGGCAGTCAACACATTTGGAGAAATATCATACAATGTTAGTTGAGTTATGTCAGCTAGAACTACAACTTCTGCTGGCATAAAGGTCATATATAAAGTTTTCTTTTGGGTGACGATGCTGAACAGATGAATATCTGAATGGGATATATGTCTCATGCTGATTTGAAAATTACTAGAGAAATACAGACTTAGGATAAACTACATTGTTCCTGCCTTCTAATTTCAGCCTGTAGCAGCATCCTCTGTGTGTGGGTACAAACTGGTATATAGGACAGATGTTAGGTACCTATTAATATTTGTAAATTCATACAGTTTTGTGGTACTATGTCTTGCAATTAGTTGACACGTTTCAACTCTAAATCAATTCCCAAACAACAACCAAAGAATAATCAAGGGTACTTAAAAACTAGTTGGAAGTCATTGATCAGACTCTTACATTATATTAGGAAAAAATCAAAGACATAATGGAATGTGTGCTGCAGAAGCACCAGTGACTGCACCAAATAAGCTCAAATCAACAAAAAGCTAATTAAGTAAACTTAAAAATTACCTACAATGTATTCTTGAAAGATAAGGGGAGCACAAAGTATCTACAACTTCCAGAACAGAGGTAACTGAAACAGTGGAAGATGTTGGAATATTCCAGGACCTGATCAGGGCCCTGGGCCATGACTGACAGACACACAGACACAAAGGGTGTCCAAGTTAAAGATGTTCAAATCCACTGTCAGCTCTGGCTTCTCAGGACACTTGGGGTACTCCATAATACTGAGGAAGGAGAAATAACTGAGCCACTCATTAACACAAACCAGTTACCTCCCGTCTCCAGGTGTGGTGGAATTTCTCTAGAAACTAGGAATCCACATTTATCAAGAATCCAGGCCTGCCAGCCCTCTCATTTTCCAAACTGCAAAAAAACAAACAATAATAAGGCCCAGGACAACCATCAGTCCAAATTTTTCACTTCAAGTCAAAGGACTGATTTGACTTTTGATTTTTAAAAGACAACTATCATGGCTTTTAAGCAATAATCTGTAGAAGAGATGAATAGCACACTTAGGATCTTCATGATTTATTTGGCAAAGCCTATTAGTTCTTTCTGGAGAAAATTAATAATAATTCTCATCTATTTGTCAGTGGGAATTTAATGTAGGCTAAAAAGTCACTGAGAGTTTTCTTCAGATGGAACTCTGCTCAAAACAGAACAAAAAAGATGAGTTTGAGAAAAATGCTTAATAAAGTCTTCTTTAAATGAAAATTACTCAAGACTTGACTGTTAATCAAAAGAACATTACTTACCTTACTCAGCACCACTGTATCAGAATCTGGCAGCAAGTTTTTAAAAGGAACCCTTTTCTCTTTCTTATACCGTCATAATTTATAACAGCTGAATTATTGGCTATAAATACTCTTTTCTTTCTACTAATGTATTATGCTTCTGGGATTGTTCAGAGCAAATATTTTGTTACTAAGAGAATAAGCTCCTAAATTCAGGCTTCTGGAAAAAAAAAATTAAAACACATTCGAAGTAGCAGCTATTCAAAGAATATCACTGTGCCATCTTAACAGACTAAATTTTATTTTCACTAATATTAAAAAATATTGAAATTTGTAACTAAATTTATTTTCTGAACAAAGGAAGCTGCTGCTTGCCATAAACTGGAGCATATTTATGCATATACCAAAATTAAAGGTTCATATTCATTTCAAATATAAAAATTCAAATGGGATTTAGCAGAGGGAGTTTGCTGTTGAAAGCAGAGAGTTAGATAAGCAAAATACATTCCTAAAAATATGCAAAGTATCAAGTTATAGAACATAAAAGATAATGGTGTAATATATATCATGATACACATGGAGTTTTTCTACACATACTACGCACCTTACTTTAAAACAACACAAAAAAACCCTACCAAAAAATATTCTGTAAAACTAATACCAGCAAGATTTGAATTTTGCTGGGTTTTTTTGAAAATGCCCTGACAGATTCTTAATATGAGATGGTTTGGAACACTGATATGTGACAGTGTAGCTATATACAGCTCTTTATGGCTTCTATAATCAGAGAGGTTACACGTTAGTGTTTTGTGTCACAAGTAGGAGTTACCTGATCGCAAACATGATACGAGTCGGGCTCCACTGACTGCAGCGCTTCTGTTCTCTTCCCTGACTCACACAAAATCTCATGTATCACAATTCCCCTGTTTTTACACCTGGAGAGGCCCAGGGAGGAAGTTTGTGAGCACAGGATGGCGCAGTACTGTGGGATGTGGCTCTGGCTCCGGGAGAGAGCAACGCAGGATGCTCACAGCCAGCCAGGCTGGAAAGATACAGGCTTCTCACATTAACACTCTGTGAGCTGCAGCAGAGTTACCAGATTAGCTGGCTCAAATTGTGTCATGAACTTATTTTTAGCATGCTATTATGCCTCTGGGATATATTTTATTTATGAGGGAATTTGACTTAAACAGATGTTGTAGCTGTTTTCTGAAAAAGAGCTTTATGCAACTTGCTGTGAGGAACCTGAAAGACTGTATGTTTTGGGGACGGGGCAGAGTGAATGTGTGAGGCAAACATAGTAGTCCTGAGCCGCTTCTGGGAAATCAATTTTCCAAACAGACACCTAAAATAGATAAAAAAGG